GGCGACTATGCTTGTTGTGAGAGGCGACTAACAGGATCGGGGTTTCAGGCTCGCTGTCTTGGTTGATACATGTAATCGTATCCCAATTGCGTGGCACAATCCTCATGTTGTTAATCACTGGATTGTCTAGCCAGACTCAATTATTTTCATATAGCTGGAATATTGTGTAGTGCGGCGTTAAACAACAAACAAAAACATCTGCGTATTAAGAAACAATGGTAGAATGGCATTCTACAAACGAAACATTCAGAACAGCTGGCGCTGAAATTTCATCCGAGCAGTGTAAACATAACTGATATGTTTCACATGCACCAACCCCGACTGGGAGACAGTTTCTGTATTGTATAAATGTCAAACACCAACCCAGAGAGGTGCTAACGTAGTAAAACTAATTATGGATTTCATTTGGCGTAAAAGAATGTTCTCTATATGTCTCCAAAATTCTCGCTTTATGTTCCCAATATGTTTCCTATATGTTCCCATATATTCCCTATATGTTCCCTATATGTTCCCACTATGTCCCAATATGTTCCCCATAGGTTCACAATTTGTTCACAATATGTCCCAACATCTTCCCAATATGTCCCCAGTATGCTCCAATATGTCCCCATATGTTCACAATATGTCCCCAGTATGCTCCAATATGTCCCCATATGTTCACAATATGTCCCCAGTATGCTCCAATATGTTTCCTATATGTTCCGATATGTTGGCAATATGTTACAATATGTTCCCAACATGTTGGCAATATGTTCCCAGTATGTTCCCAATATGTTCCCTATATGTTCCGATATGTGACCAATATGTTCCCCAATATATTCCGAATAAGTTCCCCAATATGTTTCAAATATGTTCCCTTATGTTCCCAATAAGTTCCCTATATGTTCTAAATATGTTCCCTATGTGTTCCCAATATGTGCCAATATGTTCACCAGTACCCCCACTGATGATTATGTGAACCTCATGCCCACTGCTGGTTCGTCAGTTGTGAATTTTTCCAGTGTAAAACCCAACCGATTATCTTTCCTCATGAGGGAAGTGTGAAATATGTCCCCTGATGATGACATGTTCCGTCCGAGGCCACACACTGCAGTAGGCCACACACTGCAGCAGGCCACACACTGCAGCAGGCCACACACTGCAGTAGGCCACACACTGCAGCAGACCACACACTGCAGCAGGCCACACACTGCAGCAGGCCACACACTGTAGCAGGCCACACACTGCAGCAGACCACACACTGCAGTAGGCCACACACTGCAGTAGGCCAAACACTGCAGCAGGCAACACACTGCAGCAGACCACACACTGCAGTAGGCCACACACTGCAGTAGGCAACACACTGCAGTAGGCCACACACTGCAGTAGGCCACACACTGCAGCAGACCACACACTGCAGTAGGTCACACACTGCAGTAGGCCACACACTGCAGCAGGCCACACACTGCAGTAGGCAACACACTGCAGCAGACCACACACTGCAGCAGGCCACACACTGCAGTAGGTCACACAGTGCAGTAGGTCACACATTGCAGTAGGACACACACTGCAGCAGGCCACACACTGCAGCAGGCCACACACTGCAGCAGGCCACACACTGCAGCAGGCCACAAACTGCAGCAGGCCACACACTGCAGCAGGCCACACACTGCAGTAGGCCACACAGTGCAGTAGGCCACACAGTGCAGCAGGCCACACACTGCAGCAGGCCACACACTGCAGCAGGCCACACACTGCAGCAGGCCACAAACTGCAGCAGGCCACACACTGCAGCAGGCCACACACTGCAGTAGGCCACACACTGCAGCAGGCCACAAACTGCAGCAGGCCACACACTGCAGCAGGCCACACACTGCAGTAGGCCACACAGTGCAGTAGGCCACACAGTACAGTAGGCCACACACTGCAGTAGGCAACACACTGCAGCAGACCACACACCGCAGCAGGCCACACACTGCAGCAGGCCACACACTGCAGCAGGCCACACACTGCAGCAGGCCACACACTGTAGTAGGCCACACACTGCAGTAGGCAACACACTGCAGTAGGCCGAACACTGCAGTAGGCCACACACTGCAGCAGACCACACACTGCAGTAGGTCACACACTGCAGCAGGCCACACACTGCAGCAGGCCACACACTGCAGCAGGCCACAAACTGCAGCAGACCACACACTGCAGTAGGCTACACACTGGAGCAGGCAACACACTGCAGTAGGCCACACACTGCAGCAGACCACACACTGCAGTAGGCCACACACTGCAGTAGGCAACACACTGCAGCAGACCACACACTGCAGTAGGCCACACACTGCAGCAGACCACACACTGCAGTAGGCTACACACTGCAGCAGACCACACACTGCAGCAGGCCACACACTGCAGTAGGCAACACACTGCAGCAGGCCACACACTGCAGCAGGCCACACACTGCAATAGGCTACACACTGCAGCAGACCACACACTGCAGTAGGTCACACACTGCAGCAGGCCACACACTGCAGCAGACCACACACTGCAGTAGGCAACACACTGGAGCAGGCAACATACTGCAGTAGGCCACACACTGTAGCAGACCACAAACTGCAGTAGGCCACACACTGCAGCAGACCACACACTGCAGTAGGCAACACACTGCAGCAGACCACACACTGCAGTAGGCAACACACTGGAGCAGACCACACACTGCAGTAGGCCACACACTGCAGTAGGCCACACACTGCAGTAGGCCACACACTGCAGCAGACCACACACTGCAGTAGGCCACACACTGCAGTAGGCCACACACTGCAGCAGACCACACACTGCAGCAGACCACACACTGCAATAGGCTACACACTGCAGCAGACCACACACTGCAGTAGGTCACACACTGCAGCAGGCCACACACTGCAGTAGGCAACACACTGCAGCAGGCCACACACTGCAGCAGGCCACACACAGCAGCAGACCACACACTGCAGTAGGCAACACACTGGAGCAGGCAACATACTGCAGTAGGCCACACACTGTAGCAGACCACAAACTGCAGCAGACCACAAACTGAAGTACAAATCCTTGACCATCCATCATTGCTCTCATGGTATGTTTTCATATTGATTTCTCCCAGAGGACGCATGGCCGTGACCTGACTATTAGTCTCGTGGTGGTCTGATTAAGGTGGATATATCACTGTCAGAAAGGACAGAAGGCCATACTCACAAAGGAGATGGCACAATTGACGCCTTTACAATTATAATACGTATTTCAACAAAATTTGACAAATTGAAGATATCCTTCTTCAACTTGGAACGCCTTCTCTGCATGTACAGATGTAGCGTTATCATCAGCCGCATCAGCCTTTAAGATATAAGATGTAAAACTGTCATTCTGGATACAGAAGGTTGATAAGGTACAGTTGGACTCTCAGTATTGATTTATGAGGTAGAGTTTTGCGTGATTTGATCACTGAACTCAATCCTCTCAAGGGGTATAAAGATCCCCTGCTACTAAACACAATGAAACATTAATCTATGTGCCCAGAGTGATGAGTGACGCTTTGTAGCGATGGTAGTTGATATTGTTGGACTGTTAAGCGGAATGTAAGATCTTGGTATCATCTGCATGGTCTCTCTTCAACCGGACGGTATAAGATTCTTAGAGACAGGCTTCATGTTTCTCAGGATGGACTAACCTAACACTCCTAATTCCTTTAAAGCACAACACAGTTGTTTTCAGGGCATCACTTTGTGGTTTGCATTTTGCTATACGTATACTATGTGTGTGTGTGTGTGTGTGTGTGTGTGTGTGTGTGTGTGTGTGTGTGTGTGTGTGTGTGTGTGTGTGTGTGTGTGTGTGTGTGTGTGTGTGTGTGTGTGTGTGTGTGTGGCGTTTGTGTGTGTAGTGTGTGTATATATATGTGTGTGTATGTGTGTGTCATTGAATAATTGATCTGCACCTTCGAAGACAGATTAACGTTGATTGAAGACAGCAGACTGGAATTAGTTGATAGTGAGTGAGTGAGTTGGGTTTAACGCCGCTTTTAACACTTCAACTCAATGTGGGAGGAAAGCCCGTAGTGTCGCAGGTCTCAGACGTTTACCACTTCGATGAAACCCACGAGCACGGGATTGGTGCTGACAAACCTAGAAACATACTCGGGGCGAATCGGGATTCGAACACACAATCATAGGTTTCTGGCGTGCCTAAGGACGCCTCACTGCATAGCGAATTGCGGCGCCTTAGACGACTTGGCCACCGGTGCCCCTAGCTGATAGCTGTTCTTAACCAACTTTCACCCTTTATAGCCATTCAAAAACATCACTTATCGTTCGAATCCCCTTGTGTGTTTGGATCTCACCCAAGGAAACCTGCATCACTTCGTGCTTTCCTCCCATCTTGAACTGACACGCCGTGATGTAACTGAAATACTGTTCAAAGCGGATGTGGACCCAGTCACTCAATCGTGTCCACAGGATCTAGTGGTACCAAGCCTTGACGTTCTATATGTTACATGTATGTGCAATGTTACAGGAAATCATCGAGCTATATCTACAGACTGGTAGATCTAAAGTAGCAGGTTATCTAAATAGGTCACAATGTATTCCGCTATCTGCACACGACCACGCGACACCTATGTCAGACCTACCTGACAGAATACTGTATACAGTGAGTGAGTATGGTTTTACGCCGCTTTTAGCAATATCATTGCGGGGGACACCAGAAATTGGCTTCACACATTGTACCCATGTCGGGAATCGAACCCGGGTCTTCGGCGTGACGAGCGAACGCTTTAACCACTAGGCTACCCGACCGCCCCTAAATACTGTATACAAAACACAATGCCAATAAAAGTGGCACAATAGTAAACGTTTGATGACTACCATTAATTGATCGGAATTATTCTCAATCTTTACCTTGTTTGTAAGTGTTCAGCATTGTGACGCTGTCAGTTGTGTAACAAACCAAACAATACGTAAGACCAAAACCGACAAATGTAAGAAAAACAACGAACAGCCTCATAAAAATGGTTTCCTTTTATAAGTAACATTGTATAGAATCATGGGGTGAGATTTATCTCCAAACTAAGAAAAGGTTAAAGAAGCGAAAAACAGTAAACCTCTTTGCGTATAACATGAATAAGGAACACATGAGCTGGACTGGTTTTATATGTGTAGCGTTGAACAGGTTTAGAGGTATATCAAGGGAAGTAACTCTCACTCCTAGATTTACACACTGGAAGACACTTCCCACCACCGAAATAAGGGATCACAGACAAAGTTCAACATTAATTAGATTAAGCTTCCGCTCACACACAATGATCTAGTAATCTGATTTTCTATTACAGTCTTGTACCCGCTCACAAGGGATGTTAATTGACTTTCAGCAGTCCCAGTTATCGATCTGAGATTTGTCCATATCATCACCACTGTCGCTCTTGCACACACTGCTATCTATCTACCGGCGACTCAAACGTCCTCCGTCGCCTTGCACCCTCCCTATGTGATTCTGAATATTCCCAAGTCTTTGATAAATGTTAATGGCTATAACACCATGGGGCATCGTTGCAGAAATCATACGAGCCATCGATGTTGTCAATATGTGCTTAAAGGCAAAGCTGTTTGGGGTATCTTAAACTCATCCGCAATGTGGACAGATGACACCTCCGTGTCGTCGTCACTTCCGTCGAAATTGGATGCCTCGGCAACAGCCTGCGCCTGCACACGTTCTTTCGCTTCTTCTGGTGATATCGTCACTTCAAGCACCGTCCCGTTCATATTGTCTAAAACGTTTGGATGGGGTTTGTGTATGCGCCTAGCGGTGTCTCTGGTATTGCTGGTGTAGGGATCTATGAACTTTGACACGTAAGAGGGAGATCCGCGGGGATCATGACCGCCTTTCTCAGCTGGGGGGCACCAAAACTGCATTTGACCTTCAGGGAGAGGTTTGACCTTGTTGAGCCTTATCTCATCCAGCAGCCACGCCGTCATTTCATCTGAGAAATATTTCTGGAACGTTTGTAGAATTTTCCTCTTTGACCTGACTAGCTTCATCTTGGAGACTGTGTTGTCGTGGAGGAAGATCTTGATGGCCTTCCATACTCCGTGGAAGACTGGGCTGTGGTTGAGGCACATGACGAGACCCAGACGCTCAGGGTAGTGGTTGGCCATTATCTGTGTCACGCCATAGCCTAACTTGGGGTTGCACGACTGCAGCGTCATACCTGGAAATAATAATAATAATGACGATAATAATAATAATAATAATAATAATAATAATAATAATAATAATAATAATAAAAAGGCTTTCTGTTTGCTGTTCAGGACCAGTCACTTCCCACTCGAAACCGTCTATGTGCGATTTTGCATCAAGCTGTGAATATGAAATGTAGATTATGTAATGAATTTAATGAGACTGTCCCACACCTTGTCAGTGGATGCCCAGCTTTGGCACAAACTTTGTCTTAAGCGACAGGATGGCTTGGCTCGATCATTTTATTACCGTCTTCGCCATGCTTGTGGTTTTGACACAGAGGTCCATCCATGGTACGATCCGGAATGTGTAGAGGGCGTCACGGAAAATGATAAATACAAAATCCCTTGGAGTAGGCCCGTATACAACCTCAGACGCATCCAGGCCAACACACCTGATCTTGTCCTTTTTGATAAATCCAATGAAATCATTTATATCATTGAATTTTCTGTCCCTTTTAACACTAATGTGATTGACAAGATTCAGGAAAAACATGGCAAATATGCGGACCTCGCTTTCGAAGTACCAAGTTGTCCGGCTCCCCATTGTTCTCGGTGCCGTGGGTTTGGTACCTCCCAATCTGTTGACTGACATCGGGGGAGTACCCGGGTTTGCTGCCAGGAACACAGCCCTTCTGACAACTTGGGTAATGCCGAAGGCTGCAGTGTTGGGTAGTCTTCACATTCTCCGAAAATTTCTGGGTGGGTTTGACTAGCCAGCGCTTCCTGGGAGAAAGCCCATTTCACTGTCTGGGCTGCGTGTAGAGGGGGCAAGGGCTCTGACCTGATGATGAACCTAACCAGCCTGACTGTGCCAGGATCACCCAAACCCTCTTTGCTGCATTTTTAATTTTATTCTTTATAAATAATAAGCAGACATCATATGTGTAACATGCGTAAGCAGGACCGAGGTAGTGGAAACTCTCAAACACGGTCACCCATCCAACTACTCTCCGCGTTTCCACCTGATTTGTGATCTGTCTGCTGACCACCAAGTGCCACAGCTAACCTGTACTTCAGCAAAATACATTCAGAGTTTAGCATTGAATTGTAAGTGTGTTTGCTGCTTTTTGTTTAACGTCGCACTCAGCAGTATTCCAGCTACATGACGGTAGTCTGTAAATAATCACAGGCTCGACCAGACAAGCCAGTGATTTACAACACCATGAGCAATTAGGATTCGATGATATGCATCAAGCAAATCTGCGTGTCCGACCACCCGATCCTGTTAGTCTCCTCTCATGAGGTTGGGTTGCTGAAGACCTATTCTAACCCGGACCTTCACAGATATGATTGTAAGTAAATATACAAATAATGGAAGATATAGAAAAACAAACGAAACAATCATTTGATACTAATCATTCAATATTCCAAGTTCGTGTACCTGTACAATCTATGATAAACACCCAGGTGGAGATCCCCGGCTGCATCGTCAGCTTAGCGTTCTCTATGAGGTAGGTCACATGACTGATCGAGTCTTCCACCGAGTTCCGGTGAGTTGTAGCCTGGGAAAAGTTGGAGTAGATGACAGGACGTCCCATCTCATCATGGCCGATCTGGCGCTGGAACCATACAGGTAATACATACATACATACAGTCAAGGAACTTAACGAAACTATATGGATCCTCCAGTTCCATTCAAATGTAGCCGAAGTTTGTTATTTACATCCTGATCTCCCTGACACCCATTGCTCTCACTGACCCCCGTTTCTTCACCCTGATCTCTCTCAAGCCCCTCTTCCTCTGCCTCGCCATCCCACCTCACCCCTCTGTCCCAGAGACAAATAACAGTAGTTTGAAGTAATCTTGAAATAACGAGAAAATAATCGAAATTATTGAAACCCACCCCGAGAAATTTCGATTTAGCAAATTAAAATTATGCTACCAAAGTGGCATCATTAGACTTCCGTACTAGTGAGTATTTATAAAGTCAAGGCTAGAAATTTCCCAAATACAAGGGTGTAATATAAGCACCAAGAACGTGTTTGATATGGCACGGGTTACCCAATTCACTTTGCAGCGTTGCCAGGGTCATCGTGGAAACCACTTCAGAAGGTTTAAAACTCCCTCTATACCAAATACCTATTTGTTTCAATACTTTCAAAGTGCTCCAAGCTTTGTCTCCTTTGTCTGTTCACTATATTCAGCAAACATGCGTGTATCCTCTCTTATCGTAAGGCCCAACCGGGGGAGGCCCATACGTCCCAGAGCCATCCATGGCTATCAACAGGTGCTCTTTGGCTCAAGTGTCAAAGGGAATGGGATATGGGACATTTGGAAGTAGTGGGGTATTTAGAGACTGACCATGGAATGGAAGCCAGGCCGGTCGTGGCACCAGCGACAGTCGAGGTGCAGAGGGCGGTTCTGTCTCCTGTAGTCTACAGTCTCTTTCAGAAGACGCTCAGCCTCCTCCAGGTTCCAGTCACGTGATTTCAAGTAGCGCGCGACTCTGCAAAAACGCATAGTGTGCAGAAATATATTGTAACACGTCATTTGGTTCATATATTGCCTGACTATTGTTATTTGGGTATTTTTCTACAAGTGGAGGGTGGATGCTTCTCCAGGATAAAATATATTATTAATCAAAATTAATATACAGAACTCTTAATGGTGATTGAAATTGACTGTATTCAATCAACATTTCAACTGTGACGAAGACACAAATCGATTCCTACCATAAACCCGTAAAACAATTAAATACTTTTATCGATAATGCATTTACAGGCCGCAATCAAGGCCAGGAGTTTAGCCTGGTATAGCTTTAACAGACATTTTTTTTTACAATGAAAAATGGGTGCGTGGCGGGTGCTACTGGCATAGCAGAGCATGCTTACCCTTCTCGTGTACATCTGGTGTTAGTGTTCCATTCCCAAAACTATTAACCCTTTAAGGTATACATTCGATACTAAATATCTCTGGCGTTTATCTTTTGAATTAAGAACGAAAACTGAATAATCAATCATAACATATGCAGAACAATTTAGTTCGGTGACAGGTGAAATGAACTACTCAAATATGACGGATTTCATGATTGAAATTAAATCTTGCTATGCAGAACAGCTCACGACAGGTGTCTGTCAAGTTGATTATTGGAGGCTAGATGTGGCTGTTGATTTCGCTACAAGGCCACACACGTCAGGGAACAGCTGGTGTTAGTCGAATACCACACCAGTCGCCCACTGTCGCCTAACCCAATTCCTCTAACGACTGCTTCCTCTCGCTCGGCCCTCTTCCTCTCCATGGCCTCTTTATATTTCCCTCACGCCTCTGTCATCTCAAATCTCTTCCTCTTCCCGACCCCTCTCTATCCCTCACGCCTCTTTCACCTCATCTCTCTTCCTCTCCCCGGCCCCTCTCTATCCCTCACGCCTCTTTCACCTCATCTCTCTTCCTCTTCCCGACCCCTCTCTATCCCACACACCTCTGTCACGTCATCTCTCTTCCTCTTCCCGGCCCCTCTCTATCCCACACACCTCTGTCACGTCATCTCTCTTCCTCTTCACGACCCCTCTCTATCCCACACACCTCTGTCACGTCATCTCTCTTCCTCTTCCCGGCCCCTCTCTATACCTCACGCCTCTGTCACGTCATCTCTCTTCCTCTTCCCGGCCCCTCTCTATCCCACACACCTCTGTCACGTCATCTCTCTTCCTCTTCCCGGCGCTTCTCTATCCCTCACACCTCTGTCACCTCATCTCTCTTCCTCTTCCCGGCCCCTCTCTATCCCACACACCTCTGTCACGTCATCTCTCTTCCTCTTCCCGGCCCCTCTCTATCCCACACACCTCTGTCACGTCATCTCTCTTCCTCTTCCCGGCCCCTCTCTATCCCACACACCTCTGTCACGTCATCTCTCTTCCTCTTCCCGACCCCTTTCTATCCCTCACGCATCTGTCACGTCATCTCTCTTCCTCTTCCCGGCCCCTCTCTATACCTCACGCCTCTGTCACGTCATCTCTCTTCCTCTTCCCGACCCCTTTCTATCCCTCACGCATCTGTCACCTCATCTCTCTTCCTCTTCCCGGCCCCTCTCTATACCTCACGCATCTGTCACCTCATCTCTCTTCCTCTTCCCGGCCCCTCTCTATACCTCACGCCTCTGTCACGTCATCTATCTTCCTCTTCCCGACCCCTTTCTATCCCTCACGCATCTGTCACGTCATCTCTCTTCCTCTTCCCGGCCCCTCTCTATACCTCACGCCTCTGTCACCTCATCTCTCTTCCTCTTCCCGGCCCCTCTCTATCCCACACACCTCTGTCACGTCATCTCTCTTCCTCTTCCCGGCTCCTCTCTATCCCACACACCTCTGTCACGTCATCTCTCTTCCTCTTCCCGGCCCCTCTCTATCCCACACACCTCTGTCACGTCATCTCTCTTCCTCTTCCCGACCCCTTTCTATCCCTCACGCATCTGTCACCTCATCTCTCTTCCCGGCCCCTCTCTATACGTCATCTCTCTTCCTCTTCCCGGCCCCTCTCTATCCCACACACCTCTGTCACGTCATCTCTCTTCCTCTTCCCGACCCCTCTCTATCCCTCACGCCTCTGTCACTACATCTATCTTCCTCTTCCCGACCCCTCTCTATACCTCACGCATCTGTCACCTCATCTCTCTTCCTCTTCCCGACCCCTCTCTATCCCTCACGCCTCTGTCACCACATCTATCTTCCTCTTCCCGACCCCTCTCTATCCCTCACGCATCTGTCACCCTAGATCTTCAGATAATATTGTGAACATTTGAGTATTTACTGACATGCTCTCCTTCACGATCTTTATACTCGCCTGGTCCAATCGGTTTATGTATTTCAAACACATAAGTTGACCGTTTAAAGAAATAATTCTGATTTAAATGCTGGCAGCCACACATGTCTCAGTTACAATGATACGTTACCCATTACACCCTGCAGTAGAGTTCATGTACACGTGATGCTCCCCAGACATTCTCCCCTCTCCCGCTCTTTGTATCGCGCATTATCCGCAGCCAAAACCTATTCTCTTCTCCTACCTTATTCCCCTATTCATCCCCCCTCTAATTTCCCCTCGACCTCAACCTAACCCCCATTTCTTCTCTAAAACTTTCCACTTCCTGGCTATATAATCATGGCCACTTCCTCTCCTAACTCCTCTCAGGCCACTTACATTCCCTTCTTATTGAAATGGACTTTGTAAGCACACATGTCATATGCTGTTTATGCACACGCCGCTTTCAGTATAACTAGCCAACGTACAGATGTGCTAACATTGAAGGGTATGAACATGTTTCTATTATGATGTTTTTGTTACATCACCGATTGTCTGTACATTTTGTTCCCCTGCATCATCCTACATTATCAATAATAAATTATAACAGACATTTGTACCCGAAAAATGATGGCGGATATTCCATAGACAAAGAGCGTTTGGTACAATCAAGTACATACACTTATGTGTGTGTCATCATATTCCGAGGTTTATATTGCAATACAATCTCATACATATACATAAGGAAGACATTTTAGCGGCTTTTTGTTCAACAAGTGATTTTCTCCAGTACATGTGCACGATTGCACAGATGGCTGCCGATGTGTTCGGATACATTTTGCAGATGATATTCTCTCACACACATAAAACGGTTGTTTGTTGCTTTTTGAAGATTTCTCAAACGGAACTGACAGTCACCTTCATGCTTTAAAATTAAAGATCTTTAAAGTATGAAATACACACCATAATGAAAAACGCTTTGCTCTGAGCTTAATGTTTCAATCCTAAAAGCTCTAGTCGTAAGATTCAAGCAAAATATTTATCGACCAAAGCTCAAAACGACTGGTTTCAATCCTAAATCTATCAAATCACACGGCCTGGTGATAAAGTATTGCCGAGACACGCCGCGATGCCTTAGGACCATCTTAGAGCGGAGGGAGATTCCCCTGATCCTAAAACTAATCAAGACACCGAGTGGCGTTGAGAAAGGGGAGTCTAATTCAAACGGTACCGGATACCCGCGCGGACCTCCGAGGAGACAACATCAATTGAACCAATTAGATGTCAGTATTAGGCTACGTGCAAGATTAAAGATTTGTTCGTTTTGAATGACGTGGTCAACATAAAGTTAACTGTTGGCACCGAAATATATAAGCATGTAATAATGCATAGGAATAGTATAACACTTCCTGCACCGTTGTATAAATATAATCATGAATATACATGGGAACATATGTGCTATAACAAACAATAAAAACATCCTCAAATTAATATTTTTTACCTCATGTCACTGAGGGTAATCGGCGTTGAATACATGAAATATGTGTCGTGCATATTACACGTGATCTTGGATTCTTTTTCATAACTGGCACTAGAAAATACTTTTTGTTCCTTTACATAAATCAAATATTAAGTATTGACATGAACACGATTGCACTATGAATACATTGATGCAAATTGGAATTTGCTGTTTAAATTATAGGAAGTTCAGGTCCTATAATTTTCCGCTAATAAAGTGAAAGGTTTCACCTAATAAGATGGCATCTATAAAATGCTCTGTAGTTAACTATTTCTGTGGGTCTGTGATTATAGACACTCTACATCCTTAATGAAAACGGACATTTCCCAAAAGCTCCCGTTAATCGTGAAATTGAAAGGTGGAGAAATCGTCGTAGATACAGAGGGTGATTATAGGAGTTTCGCTGTATCTTCATACAAGTAGTCAGCGCATAACGGACCTGCTATTACAAATTATCATTCTGGCAATCACAGGGGGGCTATCGATTGGATGAACTAACGGTGTGGTTAAGGCTAGCATAGGAGGCGTGGGATTTGCTGTTTCCTTCTGTAGACAATCACATGACTGGCATAGTTTGTCCGAAATCTGGTCAGATATAAGAGAAACCGACATGTCTATGAATATTGCTATATATACAGGATGATTTATCGTGTGAGACTTAAGAACAATCTTGTCTTGTTTAAGAGAAGAAGAAAATAAAATGATTGGCACGTCCTCTGTGTTTTTATGTGTGTATCCCATTGAGAATAAACTCTATTAATTAAACAGACTGATAAAAGGGACGGCACGATAGGCCAATACTTGTGTATTCATTTGAGAAATGCACTTTGCTGTTTCTGTTGTCAGAGAAGGAGTGTAGGGTAAATAAAGAAAGTCTGCAGAGATTCAGACGAACATGTATTGATTCATGTATACTTACTGGTATCTACATAATGAAAAACGTGACTACACGTTACAAAACATCATTCTACTATCGAAATGAAACGATGAGCATCCAGGGGGCATCAGTAGATCCATATCTAGTGTTATACCGTATTTATTGATAAAACTGATAGACTTATCACCCGTATAGAGCCATTTCTTCAACACACACAACCCCGTGAGAACCCAGATAAGATAAAGGCATAGCCCTCGTTTGCTAGCGGCGACTACAGTAGCCGGGATGGCCAGGTTTGGTGACACATTAGTCTTCATCTCACCGTCGACGTAGATCGTGATACAGTAGGGATACTGCTGACTGCGGCGGTAAACAACTGTCACTCACATCACTTCATACAACCAATGTGTGTATACGTACGTCACGTTAATCAGGACTGCACATGTAACGTTCATTCAACGTTATCGCGCTTAAACTGCTTAAACCAACAGTAAGATTTATGATCTCATTTGACGCCGTTGCTGAAAACAAAACCTGGTCTGATCTACTTTGAGAAACAGCATATTTAATAATTTACATGTTTGCTATCTATTGTCTGGATATCAACATCAGTGTTTTCGCAGAAAAGCAAAAGCAAAAATCACTTTGGATTTTCTTCACAACCGCATCAGCAGCGGGAATACATTTACATAAACGCCTCCATAGCCGATTGTTTTTGTTAGCACAGATATACCTCTCGGAAAAGACAAATACGAACATGTAGTTTAATTCTGTTGACAAATGGAAAGGTAAATTAACGGTATCACTAGGTTTAGTTGTAAAGAGTTTGGTGATATGTTGGACCTCGACATATATGTCTTACAACAATAACAACATGCAAAAGAGTCAAGAAGACTTATCTCACCTTACATTAAAATACTAGCTTTTGATTGGTTACGGAGCGGGAGATTATTTTCTATGTATTTTCTATGTAGCCCTCTAGGAAATCAATCAGAACACACCTCAGGTAACTTGCTTATCTCGCATTAGTATCGTTGAGCTTAAATGAACCGATGTTTATTCGAATGCATTGGATAAAGGAAAGTAAGTTCGATTGCGTCGTCTGCTAGCAGACAAAATGGCTAAATTAAAGCTTTTTACACAGTGAAACTTTGGACATATATTCCGTGTCTGTGTGAATGAATGTCGGTGAGATAAATTTGTTGTCAACCGATCGCTTGGGACGTATGGTGTGATGTATCCTGTGTATGATGTATCCTGTGTGTGATGTACCCTGTGTGTGATGTACCCTGTGTGTGATGTACCCTGTGTGTGATGAACCCTGTGTGTGATGTATCCTGTGAGTGATGTATCCTGTGTGTGATGTACCCTGTGTGTGATGTACCCTGTGTGTGATGTACCATGTGTGTGATGTATCCTGTGTGTGATGTATCCTGTGTGTGATGTACCCTGTGTGTCATGTATCCTGTGTGTGATGTATCCTGTGTGTGATGTATCCTGTGTGTGATGTATCCTGTGTGTGATGTATCCTGTGTGATGTATCCTGTGTGTGATGTATCCTGTGTGTGATGTACCATGTGTGTGATGTATCCTGTGTGTGATGTATCCTGTGTGTGATGTATCATGTGTGTGATGTACCCTGTGTGTAATGTACCCTGTGTGTGTGATGTACCCTGTGTGTGATGTACCCTGTGTGTGATGTACTTTGTGTGTGATGTACTCTGTGTGTGATGTACTCTGTGTGTGATGTACCCTGTGTGTGATGTATCATGTGTGTGATGTACCCTGTGTGTGATGTACCCTGTGTGTGATGTACCCTGTGTGTGATGTACCCTGTGTGTGATGTACCCTGTGTGTAATGTACCCTGTGTGTGATGTATCCTGTGTGTGATGTACCCTGTGTGTGATGTATCCTGTGTGTGATGTACCCTGTGTGTGAGGTACCCTGTGTGTGATGTACTCTGTGTGTGATGTACCTTGTGTGTGATGTACCCTGTGTGTGATGTACCATGTGTGCGATGTATCCTCTGTGTGATGTACCATGTGTGTTATGTATCCTGTGCGTGATGTACCTTGTGTGTGATGTACCCTGTGTGTGATGTACCCTGTGTGTGATGTATCATGTGTGTGGTGTACCCTGTGTGTGATGTACCGTATGTGTGATGTACCCTGTGTGTGAGTCTATGCCTGACGGCTTGGGGAACGCTATCACTTCAGTAGAAAATATGAAAAGAAAGAAAGAGTCTGTTGGAGTGAGGACTGAGCATGAGAATATTACACAGAACGTGCACTGTAATTAAGCTGGTATACAAGATGAACTTACGTCTCTGAATTAGTATGAAAATCTGGTTCATCAGCTAGAGGCTCAACACTCTGCATCCGGGTCCGTAGCTGAGTGATAAGATTCTCCTTGTCCGCCATTTTGGATGTTTGACGGCAACAACCTTCACCGCTGTAGTCCAAGACACTGTTGATGATGCTGATGTCTGTAAGACAAGGGAAGAGGCCTATAAACAACTCGACACAGATGATTTACGAAATCCTTCAATGCAAAGAGTTAAAATGAAAGAACGATCTCCCATGAATGGTGCAGCAGACGTTCGCTAAATTAGGCACATGACTTTTTTTCGTCACCAAACGTGTATCCTTGAGCCGTTGATGACATAAAGTAGTTCCAAACTCAAAACATGTTGATACACAACCTGTGTCCTTAATCCCGCATCTGTGAACAAACCGTTGCACTGATGTTTATCCTGAACAGGACTTCACTCTGTGACAAGTAAAACTGTTTCCAAACTAAACATCATATATCCAGCTGTCGCAGCGTCAAAACTGTGGCTCTACTCGGACAACTCCAGGTTGGATTTAGATTATATTTTCTTGATGGGTGAGTTGGGTTTATGTACAATATATTTAATCCAGACTATTAAGGTGATAATCTTTCTCAAGCACGAACGCCAACCCATCTCCCCATAAAACACGTGGCAGGTTAAAAAGAAGGGGGTGGGCTAACCCGCACATTGTTTAGGGCTGGTGCTGAGTGAGTGAGTGAGTTTGATTTTACGCCGCTTTTAGCAATATTCCAGCAATATCACGACGGGGGAACAGCAGAAATAAAAAAATTAGTGGTTTAAGTGGATGTTAACTTTGGGTGACAAGCCACTCTCATGGGTGCAAGATGTTGTCGTGTATATAATGTTTGTGTCACAGCACTTCGTGGTCAAAGCAAATAATATGTGGCATGAGATGTTATGGGAGACATCGACCGTCTTGGTGGCCGTTAGGTGGTTCTGGGCCACGTTTCGGAAAGTGACCTTATCAATGCGACTGACGTAACACCTATGATGTAACAAAGCCAGTCGTAACGATAATGCCTCTTTCTGTCTCGACCCTGAGTCAGTCTGACCGAATGTCTTTGAACGTCGACGCATTGATCGATGAGTCCAGACTCCACTCAACATTAAGGCATGATGATAAGGTATTCTACTCCAAAATAGTCCAACATCACACCTAGCAAAGTCTATGTTTGCATCGATGGTATGTCAACATCATGGTAGGTCGTCTAACCCTCCCCATCCACTCACACCCATACCAGTCCGACATATGACCAATCAGTACCCACACAGCGTCTCTCGTCGCCCCCTACCACTCACACCCATACCAATCCGACATATGATCAATCAGTACCCACACAGCGTCTCTAGTCGCCCCCAACCACTCACACCCATACCACTCCGACATATGACGAATCAGTACCCACACAGCGTCTCTCGCGGCCCCCAACCACTCACACCCATACCACTCCGACATATGATCAATCAGTACCCACACAGCGTCTCTCGCTGCCCCCAAACACTCACACCAATACCACTCCGACATATGATCAATCAGTACCCACACAGCGTCTCTCGCCGCCCCCAACCACTCACACCCATACCACTCCGACATATGATCAATCAGTACCCACACAGCGTCTCTCGCTGCCCCCAAACACTCACACCAATACCACTCCGACATATGATCAATCAGTACCCACACGGCGTCTCTCGCCGCCCCCATACCACTCCGACATATGACCAATCAGTACCCACACAGCGTCTTTCGCTGCCCCAAACCACTCACACCCATACCACTCCGACATATGATCAATCAGTACCCACACAGCGTCTCTCGTGGCCCCCAACCACTCACACCCATACCACTCCGACATATGACCAATCAGTACCCACACAGCGTCTCTCTTTAGCCGCCCCCATCCACTCACACCCATACCACTCCGACATATGACCAATCAGTACCCACACAGCGTCTCTCTTTAGCCGCCCCCATCCACTCACACCCATACCACTCCGACATATGACCAATCAGTACCCACACACCGTCTCTCGTCGCCCCCAACCACTCACACCCATACCACTCCGACATATGACCAATCAGTACCCACACAGCGTCTCTCGCCGCCCCCACCCGGATTTACAAGACGTCAACGACCAGTCTCGATTATTCAGCGAAACCGAATCAACTGGGCGGAAAACGCAAAATAGCGCAATTTGCATATAATAACACTCCTCCGCGTAATGAAACTGCAGGGTAAGTACAGCAGTATATTGACTAGGCTGTATCGACCAGCGGATGAGAGGTTGTCACAGAGGCTGGTCACAGCTGGTGTGACAGATGCCGGAGACCGGTGACGCAGAGTGAACGTCATCTGCTGCTGTACCAACGCACCGTGTCGACATGTGGCAGTGTACACACGTTGCTCCTGGGGATTGTTACAATGGTTACTTTTTCCTCAGTTTTCTGACATGGTATTAATATAACTACCAATCTCATGTATTACAGGATATTTGGATATTAGAACAAACCACATATACACAGGCACACACCGCACATATACACATCACACTCATACATACACACGCACACTCCACACTCATACTCATACACAAACACGAACACACCACACTCATATACACACACGCACATACCACAATCATACATACACACGCACACACCACGCTCATATATACACACGCACACACCGCACCCATACATAAACACGCACACACCACGCTCATATATACACTTGCACACACCACAGTCATACATAAACAAGCACACACAACACTCATATATACACACGCACACATCACACACTAATACACAAACACGCACACACCACATTCATATATACACACGCACACACCACACTCATATATACACACGCACACACCACACTCATACACAAACACGCACACATCACACTCATACATACACACGCACACCCCACACTCATACACACACACGCACACCCCACACTCATCACACACATATACACACATACCAACAAAAATATTACACATACACATATATCACACACACGCACACACACACACATCACACAAATATCACTCACACAGACACACACACCACACACACATCACACACACCTACGGACACAAATACCACACATCAAAACACCCACTCACATCGCACATTCACACAGACACTGACACACACACATATCTCACACACACATACATACAAACACACACACATACACGCAAAATGGGTACCTTCGCAGTGGTCGTAGGTTCAACACATAGATCCTCACCAATTATAAGTCTTGGTTTGTCAGTTCAATACTCGTGCCCATGGGTTTCCCCAAAGCGTACTGTCTGCCTCACTGTATGCGCTTTCCTCCCACGTTAATATGGGATGCTGTTATATAACAAAGAGACTCATCTCATATAACCGCTATGTATTCATTGATATTTTTTCGCATTACATAGTGTAACGGCATAAATCTAAATGAAATGTTTAAAAGGTTCATGATTGCGATGGACGACCCCATGCATCACAGGACTGACTCCTGACACGAGAAGGACGAGGTAACGTTTGCATCGATTCCTGGAGGTTGGAGTGAGGTCAACTAGACAACTGTAGACATCCTGGGTATGTCCAGTGACATTACCCTGACGGTTATGTTGTGTGAGGGAGATCGATTAGACAACTGTAGACATCCTGGGTATGTCCAGTGACATTACCCTGACGGTTATGTTGTGTGAGGGAAATCGATTAGACAGCTGTAGACACTCTGGTTATGTTGTGTGAGGGGGATCGATTAGACAGCTGTAGACACTCTGGTTATGTTGTGTGAGGAAGATCGACTAGACAACTGTAGACACCCTGGTTGTGTTGTGTGAGGAAGATCGACTAGACAACTGTAGACATTCTGGTTATGTTATGTAAGGAAGATCGACTAGACAGCTGTTGGCACTCTTGTTATGTTGTGTGAGGGATATCGACTAGACAAATGTAGACACGCTGCTTATAATGTGTGAGGGAGATCGACTGAACAAATGTAGACACGCTGGTTATGTTGTGTGAGGGAGATCGACAAGACTGTAGACGCCCTGGTTGGGTTGTGTAAGGGAGATCGACTAGACAACTGTAGACACGCTCGTTATATTGTGTGAGTGGGAGTACGACTAGACTGTAGACACCCTGGTTATGTTGTGTGAGGGAGATCGACTAGACTGTAGACACCCTGGTTATGTTGTGTGAGGAAGATCGACTAGACAACTGTAGACACCCTAGTTATGTTTTGTGTGAGGGAGATCGACTAGACTGTAGACACCCTGGTTATGTTGTGTGCTGGAGATCGACTAGACTGTAGACACCCTGGTTATGTTGTGTGAGGAAGATCGACAAGACTGTAGACACCCTGGTAATGTTGTGTGAGGGAGATCGACAAGACAAGACTGTAGACACCCTGGTTATGTTGTGTGAGGGAGATCGACTGGACTGGAGATATTCTGGTTATGTTGTGTGAGGGAGATCGACTAGACATCTGTAGACGCTCTGGTTATGTTGTGTGAGGGAGATCGACAAGACTGTAGACACCCTGGTTATGTTGTGTGAGGAAGACCGACAAGACAAGACTGTAGACACCCTGGTTATGTTGTGTGGGGGAGATCGACTAGACTGTAGACACTCTGGTTATGTTGTGTGAGGAAGATCGACAAGACAGTAGACACTCTGGTCATGTTGTGTGAGGGAGATCGACAAGACTGTAGACACCCTGGTTATGTTGTGTGAGGGAGATCGACTAGACTGTAGACACCCTGGTTATGTTGTGTGAGGAAGATCGACAAGACAAGACTGTAGACACCCTGGTTATGTTGTGTGAGGAAGATCGACTAGACTGAAGACACACTGGTCATGTTGTGTGAGGGAGATCGACTAGACTGTAGACACCCTGGTTATGTTGTGTGAGGGAGATCGGCTGGACTGTAGACACCCTGGTTATGTTGTGTGAGGAAGATCGACTAGACTGAAGACACACTGGTCATGTTGTGTGAGGGAGATCGACTAGACTGTAGACACCCTGGTTATGTTGTGTGAGGGAGATCGACTAGACTGTAGACACCCTGGTTATGTTGTGTGAGGGAGATCGACAAGACAAGACTGTAGACACCCTGGT